AAGGACAGGAGGGCCATGGTATCAGCGGCCCACGGCACAGCTATGGCTGTCCAGCTCATGGGGGCTGCTCCCCTCCTTTGGGGAGATGCTGCAGCCAGCAGGGCTGGTGGGGCTCATCATCTGGCTGGGGTAGCCCTGGTCTGTGCTCTCCCTCCGCCATCCCAGAGCTTGGTCGATCATCTCAAGGCGGAGTGCAGGCAGCAAGCCCAGGTTCCTGGGGTCAGCCCTGGCCAACGGGTTGTCAGCAGAGACACGCCAGGGGCCACCCTGCTCCTGTACAGTCTGGTAGAAGGAGCTGGCCTCCTGGCTGCTGGCTGTCTGCCCTGGCTCCTTGGCTTTTGCTCCACGGCACCCCAGCTCTTGCTGGGGCAGGTGGATGGTGGGGATGTCCCCAGGGAGGCCACAGCGGCTCTTGGGTGAGGGGCTGCCTATCCCGGCTTGATGGCCGCAGGATGAGGCCCTGGAACTTGGCTAGGCTGGGGCTTCGGCTCCGGTGACGTTTCATCTTGCCTGGGCTGGGGCTACGAGATTTGGGGGCCAGCAGGACAAGTGTGCTGTCATCCTCCTCTTCCGAGCTGCTGCCTGAGCTGTCTGTGGGGCTGCTGCCCTCTTCTGACCTGGGAAGGGAGATCTGCACCCCTGCATCAGCGCTGCTGGCTGATCCAGGGCACCACAGCCACTGTCCTCCTCCAGTCAAGCACCCTTATACACATCACCCACTGCCTCCCTCCATCCCTCAACCCTTGCCTTTTGGCCATGCTGACCTGGAAGGGCTCAGTCACACCAGCAATGCTGCTGGAGGTGTTGCTGTAGTATCCAAGGATGTACTCGCCCTTCCCCTTGGGCAGCGCCTCCTCTGAGAACATCACCTGCAGCCCAGAGACAACTGATGGGCACCAAGGCTTGGCACAGGGGTGCCCCCTCCCACCTTCAGCCCCAGCTCAGAGCTGATATCCCTGACTCCAGCACAGTAGGCCTGCCCAAGGCTCAGCACAGAGCAGTAAGGAGGTGCTCCCCTGCTCCATCAGGGGCATAAAGAGGTCACTGTCCCCCCATGATGGGACACATGTGCCCAGCAGGACAGCAGGGCTGGCCCAGCTCACCTGTGCACATGGTTGCTTCTCTGGGCAGCGCTCACCCTCATCGCTCCTAGCCCAGACATAGGACACGTAGTCCTTAGGGTGCCGAAAGCCCACCTGTGTGCATGTACATGGGAGAACACAGGTGCACAGGAACATCAGCCTTACTCAGCACCATCAGCCCCACCCTGCCTTAGCTTGCCTTGCGCTCAGCCCCCTCTCCTCATACAGCAAAACCAAGAGCTACCTTGCACCCACCCCACAGTGTCCTGGCCCCCAGCCTCCAAGGAGTGCCAGGCTTTGGACCCTGTGGGGCCCACTGAGCAGGAGAAAGAGGGAACTGCTGGATCTGAGCCTCCTGAAGCAGGGCCAAATCCTGCTGCTAATTGCTAAGGCTTCCCCGGGGAAACGAGAGCACAGGTCCGTGCCATGCACCAGTGCCCACCATTGGGGGATAGCTCAGAAGGGACCCCGCAGTGCTGTGCAGTGCACCCCACTCCCTCCAGCCCCAGCAGCCCCCAAGCCCCTACCCGGTAGAGTCCTATCCAGTCCCACGAGCTCCGGTGGAAACCAGCAGCCATCTTGTACCTGACAACTGCTTGCTCAGGCCTGCTCCATTCATCAGCCACATAAATCTCAACAAGGGGCTTGTCTGTCTTGGAAGCAAACTGCAAGAGAGATGTACACCTCTGTGCCTGGAAAAATCTTGGAGCAGATTCTCCTGGAAAGCATACTAAGGCACATGAAAAACAATGAGATGGTTGGTGACAGCCAACATGGCTTCACTAAGGGGAAATCCTGTCTGACCAATTTGGTGGCCTTCTATGATGGGCCTACAGAACTGATGGATAGGGGCAAAGCAGTTGATGTCACCTACCTGGACTTGTGCAAAGTATTCTACACTGTCCCACACAACATCCTTGTCTCTAAACTGGAGAGACATCAATTTGAGGGATGAAACACTTGGAGGATACAGAATTGGCTGGATGGCCACGCGCAGAGAGTTGCGGTCAACGGCTCAATGTCCAGCTAGAGATGAGTGGTGTCCCTCAGAGGTCGGTGTTGGGACCAGTCCTGTTCAACATCTTTGTCAGCAACATGGGCAGTGGAATTGATGTGCCCTCAGCAAGTTTGCTGACGACGCTGAGCTATGTGGCTTGGTTGAAACGCTGGAGGGAAGGAATGGGATCCAGGGGGACCTCGACACACTTGAGAGGTGGCCAGTGCCAACCTTGTGAAGTTCAACCAAGCCAAGTGCAAGGTCCTGCACCTGGGTCAGGCAATCCCCGGCAGAGCTACAGGCTGGGCAGGAAAGAGATTCAGAGCAGCCCTGTGGAGGACTTAGGGGTATTGGTTGATGAGAAACTGAACATGA